TGTGATCAAAGGATGAAATGCTCAGTACCGGACTAGTCAGACGGGATAAAAGAAGCTGTCACAGTTTTGAATAGCCTTATGAGACTAAATATCATTGCCCAACCCTGCTGCCCGATCGATCAGAAGTTCAATAGAGTTAAGTGGGCTGTCTATGAATGGCGGAGTTTACGATGGACGCAGCCCATTAAAAGTGAGTTTCCCATGTGTTTTGTGTAGTAACTATCGCACTTTGCAACAAATAGTTACCTATAGAAATATAGCTGACCTACGCTGCGTTTGGCGTAGAATTAGATTCAAGGATTATGGGCGCGGTAGTGATCCCTCTTGTCACCACACCATCACCGCTCGAGAGATGGAGAAAAAATCATGAAAAACGACTCAGAACCTAGGAAAAGGGGACATCTTCTTTGCCTCTGATTTTCACACTGATGAGACTCTCATAGGTGCTGCCCTCTTCACCGCTAACGCTCTCTACTAGACTGCCAGAGTCGACGGCAGGGGGGATGGGCGGGCAGCGGCGCGAGCGGCGCAGTTATATGGCCCTGATATCCCACTGGGGCATACTCTTCGCTACGGAACGTGCGTCGTCCTCCATCCAACCTGCGTTGCCCTGCACCCTTAGAGAGCCTGCCTGTTTAGACTATAAGTACATTTTCCCGTCTAGATTATAAGTAGATTTTTCCGTCCTCGACCTCCGACCTTGTCGTGAAATCCTACTTTGAAATAGCCTCTACGGTACGGTGGAAACGCTAAAGGGAAGGCACTCAGCTCGAAGCCATGAAGAACAACGAACTTGAACCACACATCGGAGATGGGAAAAGAGCAAAAGGTGCTTTTCATACTGAATTTATGGGAGTAATAGCTGGTATGGTGGGCCCTTCTCATTGGTTTGCGTCTGCCCCGCCATATGGAAGCCCACCAATGAGGAGAGCCCAACAATCCACTTGACTCCGCCCATAATTCCGCCTTTGAGTTGTTTCAAACGTTCCAGTAGTCTAGAGGATCATAGCGGAACCCCAATAGGTCCACACTGCGCCATCAATTACATAATTGCTTTTTTGCGCGATCACTTACATCTTTTCCTTTCTTTTTCTTTTTCCCCTTGTAGTCCACCACTTGTGCCACTTTCCTTTGCATTTTCTTTTCAGGGGCCGTTTTCGGCTCAGCAATTTCGGTCTTGTTCTTCTTCTCGCCTTCTTCTTCCGTTGGAAACTCATCATCCGTGACTGGTGTGACGATAGGATTCGACAAAACTCGCTGAAAATCCACTTGCAATTTTTAGTTTCTTGACTGAGGTGCCTGTGGCCATTTACTCGGCATTATAGCGCTTGGCCCTTATGTGAACTCTTTCAGTCATTTGCTCTCACTATCTTGGTTGAATGAGAGGCAGGCTATGTAGCTCAAGAAGTTATAGACGTCTTACCAGCCCTTCTCTAACTCTAGACGTGTTGAATGTTCCATAGAAAAATTAAAAGTTTTTTCTTGCAATGAAAATAATTGAGTCAACGTTCGGACTAACCTTCACGGATTTTCCTGACTTCATAGGTGTTCCATTCTTATCTGCCTTCTTAAAAGAGCATATTTCGGTACAAACTTCGGCTGCTGTCTCCCTTCCCCACACCTTCATTTTACACAGTAAATCGCGCTATCGTAAGATACGGAACTTTGCAGTGGCAATGCCTTTTAAACCGCGTGAAACTTCACATTTTTGTTAAAAATGGGGCCAAGCCTCAGACAGGGGAGGGGAGACTCTAGAATATTTGAGCATCTTCATTTCCCAGAGGTTCCTGCCTCCTCCTGGGTTTAGTCTTAGAAAATGCCCCGTATCTTGCGAAAGCGCCTGGTAAATTTATGAATAAATAAGGGACGAATAGCTCTCCAGTTTTTTTTTACCTGAGCGGCAGTTGGCAGCTCATTCGCTGGACTCTTCTTCCGCGGCACTGCTTGGGGTGGGCCTTCTTCCATTTCCTGTGTTGGCCCTGGAAATCCAGTGCTAAGGTATAGCCATCTATAAGCCTAAAGTGGATGGGAAGTCACAATCTTTTGTCTGAGGTTTCTTTTACATCTTATGTTCATCGTATGGGAAGGAGAGTGTCCTTCCTTACCTTCCTGGGTTCTCTTAGTCTTTGTCGCTCTTGGTCGTTTTGATGTTTTCTTGCCCTTGCCCAGTACTGGAGCCGGTTCCTAAAATCGTGGGATTGTGCGGGGAAGCATCCGCTCTTAATGATTAATTGCAAGGATAGAACTGGTTTAATGGTGTCATGCCATTTTGGAACTCATACTCAGTTCAGGGAATGAGTTACCATTTCATCATACTCATTCCCTGAAGGGTGCAAAACGACGCACTGAGGCAGACCTTGCGCTAATGAGAGACCTCTTGATCGCTCAATCACGCCGGAACCTTTAGTCTTAGGTAAAAAAAAACCAGAATAGCGGGTGAAGGTTCAGGCTTTATTCGAATGAATCGATTTCGTTCACTATGCCTTCTGAGCGATTCACGCGATCGTCTAATCCTTTCACCAATAGGAACATTTTTGTGCTCGTCCATAGAATCGCCTAATCCCCTGAATCGTCAACTTTGAACAAAAGCCTAACCGGGCTGCTGGCTCTTTATTCCGTGGTTCCTTGGAAAAAAAGTTCGCTCCGCGCAAATTTCCCGCTCGTCGGGCGCGATTTCGCGCACAAATTTGCCGCAATTGCATAAAGCAGAGGCGGTTTCCTATCCTTCTCTTGGGCTTGGGGACGGGAAACTCTTTTTAATTTTCTTTCTTTTCCTACAAACATCGCCCTGGGGAAGTGCTTGCAGTTTGTAGTGTAGTGTTAAAAAGCAAACAGGTGCGGAAAGTAAGGGAACAGTGTCATAGAAAACAAATGAATTTAAATGACTTTTTTTCCCCTAGTCGGAGAAAGGATAGGATACGGCTTCAGAAGAACGCTCATGGAGCGTTCAGAGTTTGGCGGTCGCCACGCACGATTAGGCGAAAATCCTTCTATTATTATAAAGCGCTAACTTTGTGTGTCGGTTTGTGTATCTGTATGTGTGTGTGTGCGTGTGTGTGTGTGTGTGTATGTGTGTCCGTCCGCAAAATGAAGTGAGTGAGAAGGAAGCTCATGGGATAAACAAACCGCTAACAAATCGGGTAGCTTACAGGATTTGAGATATCAATGTTTTGTAGCAGGATAGTTGTGATAACACTCTTAGGGCTATATAAACACCTGCTTAGCACACTTCCGTTCATTCCACATGGTGCTGCAGTGGCAGCTGGAGGGCAGTGGAGAGAGGAAGGGAGGATGAGGAAGGGAAGCGAAAAATCTACCGTCATATCATGATTGTGTCCCTTCTACTGTATGAAACACCATTGTGTTGCATACGCGTCACTTCCACGAGGTGTTGGTGTCACAGGAGGAAGGGACCATAGCGGAGGATAGAAAGCTTGCGCAGGAAAGGAAGGTCCCGGCGGTTGACGGGGGACTAATCTGGTAATAAAAATATACGTAGATTAGCGCGAACAGGCGACTGTGGGCGATCAGTCAAGGAAGACTGCATGAGTACCGATTGGTTTGCTCCACCCATAGAACGTTGTAGGCGAACAGGCTAGTAGGGGATCAAGCGATTAGGCGATCGCTTAATGGGCGGAGCAACAAATCAATACGTATCCTTCCCTTGTCGCCTCCTCGCCTACTCGCCTAATCGATGCGTATGCTTTTTCTTTTTGAATCATCGCCTAATCGCCTAATCGCACGTATGATCGCCAACTATGAACGCTCCATTAAAGGACGAATTCACGATGAAAAAACCCATTTTTCAAATTAACCTAGGGATGGTGAGTGGTACACGAAAGAAGGAAGAACCATGAGAAACGGCCCAGAACCCGAGAAATGGGACCCCTTCCTTGCCCGTTGATTCGAGCATTGATGCGACTCTCATCGCTGTGCCCTCTTCAACACTACGCTCTCTCAGCTATCTAATCACTCGCCACGTATTGAACTACGGCGAGTGATCAGATGATCGGTGGGCGGAGATCGCCGACCCGCCAGCTTTGAGGCATGATAGGTCGCCGAGGTCAAATTTTTCCATGCGAATTGCGCGTCAGTTCGCACCCTCAGGAGGTCCGTGGGTCCCTCAACTAGGTCAGTTTCCCTTTCTTCGACCTTCATTCTAATCGTGAATTCCTCCTTTAAGGCTTCTTTCAGCCAAAAGATGAGTGTGGATGGAAAGCATTGCGCCTTGCGTGCTGACATGTTTAAGCCTTTTGAAACATAAAGGAAGAAAAGATGCTGTAATAATATGCATGTGTGGGAGTGCCCACACAGCACTACAAAAAGCTGAATCGCCTCGCCTTACTGTCGGCAGAACTCCTGAGACCGAGATGACTGAGCAGTTTTGTCGCATCTGGCATTGGGTGCTGGAAAAGCCCACTTTCACGATGACACTGCTTGTGTAGACAAAGTGTGGTTCACTGAAGCCCCCAAGCTTCAGTTGCTAGTGTGGCAATTGTACGTAATTCCATCACCGTGTCGATGATGGTGAAAGCCGAATAGTTGGCAATACGCCAGAACTCTTTGGCAAGAGCTCGATACTTAGAATCGGTCATAACTTGCCGAATATGCAGCGTCTCACATGCCAGCTAGGGATACACAAGATGCGTAAACAATGGCGAACGTCCAAGTACCCCAATCAGTAAATGTTTTCGCGGCCCATCTCATCGAGCATTAGATACCAACATGGCTGGAGCATTGCGCATGGCTTAAAGATAAGGCTTTGGAAGGGCGTGGACGCTTTCACGCTGTTGACCGCCTCTTCTACATGGAAATGAACTTTGATTGTGTGCACGCAAAATCAATGCTTGTCATAGGCCTCGTTCATAGTTCGCGCTCGCACATTATATCAGGCGAATATTCGAAAAGAAAAGCATGCGTATTGATTCGGCGATTATGCAAGCAATTGAATGGGTTGGCGATTATGCGAGTAGGCAGAAGAAAAGGCTATGTATCGATTTGGTTGCTTCGCCGAATGAGTGGTCGCCTAATCCTCCACCCGTCCAGTCGATACGCATCCTTTTTTCTTGCAGCCTATTCGCTTCAGCGTCTATCGCATATGCGATCGCGAACTATGAACCCTGCTTGCGATGCACGTGCGGTAAGCCGTATCTTCATTTTCATTGAAAATTGTAACCGGTGATAGGAACGATTTCTCAGTACGGTTGGATAGGTTGCACCGTAACCCAAGTTCGCGGTGGGACGCCGCCGGATATTGACGACTTGTTTTCAATGCACCTTCTTGTTGCTTCCTCCACGCGCTCGTGACGAGAGCCACGACGAGAATGTAGGCGTCATCTCTACGGATACCGTCGCTGCAAAAAGTAGGGTGTGGCGGTACGACTCAGGCGCAAGGAATTGTGGACGCAAGTGCGTTCTTGCTCCCTGGGCTGAGGGTGAGGGAACGTGCCTTAACGCGCACATTGTTAGCTTCGTTGGGCACGCGATGAGGTAAATGCAGTGAGAATTCAGGAGGCCACCTCGGGGTCGCCACGGAATGCTCCGGTTAAGGGAATCTTCCACGGACCATGGACCAGTGGGCGGGACCGGAAGTTTTTGTGACGAAATGCATGGTAGGTACGGATCCACGTGTCGAACGCACGAACGTGAACAGGATTCACTTCAAACCTTCCCATGAACGTGGATCCGTACCTACCATGCATTTCGTCGCAAAACCACTTCCGGTCCCGCCCACTGGTCCATGGTCCGTGGAAGATTCCTTTAATGTCCAACACTGTAACGTGGATTACGGTGGAACCAATTCAACCATACTGAAAATTGTTCTTACTTAACCGGCGTGCTTGCATGTGCGATACTAACGTGTTACTAGTGCGCAACTCTAATACTTACGTTCTTTTTCTCCTTTTCGTCTTTCTTTTTCTCCTTGTCGTCTTTCTTTTTTCCTTTTCGTCTTTCTTTTTCTCCTTGTCGTCTTTCTTCTTGTCCTTTTCGTCTTTCTTTTTCTCGCGGTCCTTACTTTTGTTGTTACCATCTTCTATCGTCTTCTTCTTTGTGACATCCTCTAAGGACTGCTTTATCTGAGTTTCTTCGGTTGCCAAAGCCGTAGTTTGTTCTTTTTTCTCGGTTGCTATTTGCGTTTCCTCTTCACCAGTCCTTATCGATTTCAGCTTCGCCGTCTGCGGTGACTTCTTTCCTTTTGACATTGGTGAAGGTGTTGATTTTGAGACCTGAAAGGGACACCGTAATTCCTAATTCCTCATTTGACCATTGAATCAGGAGTGCCATGGAAGGAATTAGCCTACCTTAGTGCTCTTATTTTTGCAGCCGAGAATTAGGTTGAGTAAGATGACCGCAGCCACAATCATCGCTATTTCCATCACACGGCTGCTGCGAGTGTCTAGTAGTAGTAAAATGAACCCCACCCAGTTCTACTTGTTCACCATATCTGAAAACTGCTAATCACAAGAGAGATTATCTCAAAATCGTTATTTGCACATATTAACCAAAAGAGTTTAGGCCGAGTTTCCGAGTTCATTTTTTATGTTTTGGGAGATTAGGAACTAGGAATGTGGAAAACACGGAGCTATCGCAAGATGCGGGGGCATACTCGGCTCTACGTTCACAATCGCGTCAAACATTTTTTTGTTGTAAGCGGCACCAAGCCCTCGAAGGGGGTAGCCGGAGAGCCAGGAGGTGTACGCGGATCTCCTTCTCCTCGCCGTCGCTAGCCCCTCGTGGTCTTAGTCTTAGGGGAAGCCCCGTATCTTGCGATGACGCCAACATAAATACATACAATTGAGAGAGATTTTATTCGATTAGGTTATTAAGGTGAATATATTGGGTAAGTATCGATAGATCTGATTGGAGGTTCCTGATCTCGTGATCCCTCTTTTTGCAGGCATTATGTATCTAACTATTCAGATGAATCCGGTAATCTCATAAATTTCCGAAAAAAGGAGTATGTACGCAGCCCTACAACTTTGTGGTAGAGGCATCCATTCCCTATGCACAAGGGCGGGGAGGAGGAGGGGGAGGTGATGAAATATGTCACAGAAGGGAATGAACGGATCCTTCGAAAAGGACACTTCGCTAAATTCAAACCGAATAATCTGAACTGAAAAGTGAAGAGCAAGTTTCAGTAGCTCATAGTAACCTTCTACCCCGGCGACATCAGGAGAATTCGCCACGGTACCATGATGCGCGGTTTGAGGTAAACGAGGTACTCGCCAGATAGTGGACCATCACGGCCTTCCTTGGAATGCTTTTCGGGAGGGGCTTGAGCTCTTGTCTCTAGGAAAGTACTCCCCACCGAATCGGTTCAAGAAATTAGGTAGCAGCTTCAGGCTGGAGCAATTACGGTAGGCCTCCTTGAGCTTGACGACGATGACAGATGACGTCATATTCTGAAGACGGTGAGGGCAGTGAAGGAGGGCCTCGTTCCACCTATGAGGGGCATCTAACCACCTAGACGCTTCGACACAAAAGTTCCGTGAGCGGTGGCACACTCTGCGACAAAAAGCTTGGTGATGTGCTCATGGGCGGAGTGACTCCTTTTTTGGCCAACCCTCCCACCCCCCCCCCTGCAGACAAGGCATGGATTTTAGGTAAATCTGCACAGATGGTGAATTGATCGGATTTTTCGAACAGAACACTGCATTCCCAAAATAAAAACCGACCGGCATTTCTAAAATAAAAACCGACCGGTGATTGTGAGGAGCTGGGAAAAATAAACAGAAATGTGACGAGATGATTCTAAATTAGCCCTTTT